TTTCGTCCTACTATGGGACTCTTCAGTAGTGCGCATCAACCATCCCACACTAAAGAGACTCAAACCCACCACCTTCTGTCTCCTAGGCGAATGCTTAATCAATAGACCACTGAGTTGATATACAATGGTTTTAATGTATCACTTCAACCAATTGGTATGTTCATTTCACAGATTGACTACAATAAACGAAACTTTTGAAACTAAAATATACTGGGTATCTATGTTCGTTCTGACATGAAACTTTTCCATAATGCACAACCACAATATTATCAAGAATTAAACCTCGTGAATTCAGTCCTCGAATCAATCGCTTTACTTTCAGACGAATGAGTTGAAATCCAACGATTCATATTCACAATGGAATGACATGATTATTCATTAGTATAAACGATATTTGTCACATTCCCTACATGACTGTCTCAAATTATTTATCAACTAAGTAATCTCTGGCTATGACAGAATATTAAAGAGTTAACCCATTCTATTTTCAGATTCAGATTTGTGTAGTAAGGACAGAAAGCCTACGGCCTATGTTATTCTTTTTCTAGTATGGTTCTGTGAGTGTCCAGTCTCCTCTTGAAAGAGTCAATTGAAGGTGCGGACACCACTGCTTCAGGCAGCAGGTTCCAAGTATTGATGACTCGGTGTGAAAACCTGTATGCCATGGGTATTTTGTTCGTTCTTGGATTTTCTACTCACCTGCTATGTCCTCTGAGATATCCCGATCTAGTGGGAAAAAAAGAGAATAAGTTAGGTCCAAAATCATTTCTCAATATTCTGTACATCAAAATTAGATATTCCCTTAGTCTGCGATAGGACAGAGTAAAGAGGTTCAGCTTTTCAAGCCGCTCTTTGTTTGGTAAACTCCTGAGTTCTGGAATTGCACGGGTAACTGCCCTCTGTACTTCTTCTAGGATATCCGAGTCACTTCTTAAACAGGGGCTTGTAGCCTAAACACAGTTCTCAAGCTTAGTTCTCACTAAGGATGTGTATACTGTGGTGAACATTTTAGTATCTAACTTAGTGAATGTCCGTATACTTGGTCAACTGGATCAACTTCAGAATATGGACATCTTACTTAAAAAGCATAATATTTCCAGAACATTCAGTTAGAATGTCATTGTTTTCCACTTTCAGTCTCCAAAACGATAATAATTATGACATTCCTAAAATGATTGAATTAAACTCGTTGACAATGTTTCATAGAACTTCAAGAAATATTCATGAAGAGATTCATTTGTATCCAATCACAAACTGTTACCAAGACCATTCATCAATCGATGACGTAATCAAACTAGAAATATATTTCAGTACAGGGTTGTGAAGATGATGAAGTTTTTAATTGAGATCAAAGACTCATTGATGTTACACCACCATTGAAAACCTGGGAGCATTGGACGGTCATTGATTCTCATTGGTCTAGAGGTTAAGCGTTCACCCACAAGACTGATAGGTCTTGTTTTGGAATCTTGCGAGGTGAGATCGTAGATTCACACTGCCACTGAAAAGTCCCACAATAAGACGAAACAGTCATTCAGTGCTTCTAGGTTTTTAATAGTTGTCTAACATCAATCGGTTCATGATCTCAACTATAAAAATATATTTGTCTAATTATCTCGTCAATAGGATCAATTCAATCAAAATGAGAATACTATAGAGATATTCAAATTGATCAAATGAAAGAATTAACATTCATTAACTGTTGAATTGGAATTCACATTTTCAGTAAATATCATCATGTTTATTATATTTGTGTGTGGGCTGTGATACTGCCCGGGTCCCCAGACCGAAGCAGATGGTTTTCTTAGGGGCTACACCCCGAGCCTTTGACCTGAAGGTTTGATCCACAAGGCAGTAGAGCATTGTGAGGAGGTGCAGTTTCATGGTAGCCGGTGACCAACGATTGGTTCATACGCCATTTGTTCCCGCAGGATACTAGATCCCATGTACACCATTGGTTTGGGATCCGGTTAAAGTGCCAGACATTCTCTTTTCGTCGTCTTAACTACGCAAACAACACCCGTGGTGCGAGGAGTCAGTGTGTAGGACTTCCTGACAGAGACTGTATATATGTGGCCGTGTGAGAGCATTTGGCCATACCAGGACATTCGGGGGCAAAGTTTGTGATGGAGGTGGGATTCGAACCCATGCTTTTTTGGACTAGAATTCACAGATAATTCTATTGTTTCACATAGTAACTACAATAGAATATTAAAACAATTTCATTGTCTCTTAGCAACAATCTAGCTATTCTATTAAATAGATATCGAACTCTCTAAATGTATCATATTGGTAATATGTATTTTATAAATCATAAATGTAAAGAGTATCTTTTATAACTTGAATAAACAAGAAAGAATGGAACTAATCATGAATAGGTTGTATGTGTAAATTTGTCAAATGTTGATGATGGACAGTTGTTAAGATTAATGAAACAGTAAAGTATAAATGTACAAATTGATTTACCATGTATTTTAACATACTCTATATTGTTATATATATAAATAGATTAACTTGGGTATATCTGTTTTATTCATTTTTCAGTAAACATCATTATTGATAGAATATATGTGTATTGTGGATTGATTGAAGTTAGACATGAACATTGTTGGATATGGCCTAGGAACGGTTGAGAGTAGGGAGAGTCAGTTCTCTCTCTGAAAATGCTCTGAAGTGACCATGTGCATACAATCACTACCAGGGAAATCCTAATCACTGGCTTCTCGTGGCATTACTGTTGTTTACGAAATTGAGAGGATGGAAAGCGAATGTTCAGCGCTTAAACCGGGTCAGTGGATACGGAGGGTCCACTAGAGGAGTTGGGAAATACTCATTCCAAACCAATGGTGCACATGGGCTCCGAGATCCTGATGGGACAAATGGCGCATGAACCAATTGTTGATGACTAGCTATCATGGAACTGCATCTACTTATGTTGCTCTACTGCCTTGTAGATTAGACTATTAGATCAAAGACTCTAGGTGTGGCTATCTAAGAAAACTACCTGTTTCGATCTGGGCACCTGAATAGTATCCCAGACCTGACACAAATCGAATGATTTATGTGGTGCATATCTATTTTGGTGCTTCCTTGTACCAATGTTTATGTTTTCAAATAAATAAATAAATAAATACAATGATCTAGAGGTTAAGCGTTCACCCGCTAGACTGAAGGTCTTGAGATAAGTCCCTTTTGTGTAAGATTGTGCATACACATTACTAAAGAGTCTTATATTAAGACAAGACAACCATCTAATGTTTTCATATTTTCAATAATGATCTTGCTTTAAATCGATTCATGAATTCAACTAATAAATTACTATAATCTATACAAAACTCCCTTATATCATAATTCATTTGAATTGTGATAGTTAAATGAACTTACACTAGCATAAAAATAATCTCAACAGTTTGAGATCATGAGATAATTGAAGCTAGACCACCATGAAAAACCTGGAAGCACTGGACGGCCGTTTCGTCTCATCTTGGGACTCCTCAGCAATGCTCACCCACGGCCCCGCCTCGCAGGATTCTAACCTAGGACCTATCGGTCTCGCGCCAGGCGCTTAGATCACTGAATTGGCTGGCCGGGCATCAAACCGTATTAATGTCTAACTTCAACCAATCCACGAAGTTGCCCCACCGTCCATCATTTTCTTCAGTGAGTAACCGCAATAAAAGAATACAAATAAACAATACCAAGTGAATTTAAATTCACCCCATTGCACAAGCAAATGGCTATCAGGACTCAGTAGCTATGTGGATAACGCGATGGCGTTTGAAGCGAATGGTACTGGGTTCAAGTCCCAGAGTGAATATCAACAAATCTGCGATGCAAGTACATCCAGCTGACGAGTCCCAAATAGGACGAAACGCGCGTCAAACTGGATTCCACTGCTAGCCACTATCCATCGTTGCTTAGAAAAGATGGTATATTCATATAGATGTATATTAGAATAAGAATAACTACAGACAATAGGATAATATCACAGATTGAAATCATGAGTCAATTGAAGCTAGAACATCATGGAAAACCTGGAAGCACTGGACGGCCTCTTCGTCTTACTATGGGACTCCTCAGCAGTGCGCGTCCACAATCCCGCTAACCGCCAGACCCGAACCCAGTACCTATCAGTCTCGCGCCAGGCGCTTAACCTACTAAACCACTGAACCGGCATCCAACGGTGTTAATGTGTAACTTCAATCAATCCACGAAATTGCGCCACCGGACACCATTGTCTTCAGTAAGCTGATATCTCACAACAGACGTGGTTGAACTGGACTGGTAACGACTTCTCACTAGAACTCCAGGAGTGTCTCCTGAAGTCAGTCACTAGTGAACAGGTGATTATTATCAGAATGGAGGAGTCCCATACTAGGACGAAACGGCATTTCAGTGCTTCCAGGTTTTCAGTGGTGGTCTAGCTTCAATTGACTCATGATTTCACCAGTGAAATTTCTAAAAAATCTCCACAAAACCCATTCTGACGTATTACTATTGTAAAATGATAATAAAGTGTATTCATAAAATGATTGGATTGTATAGATTCTAATAACTAATAGAGTCTCAGAATTGGTTTTGTGGAGATTGTAGTAATTTCAAACAATTGAGATCATGATTTCATTGAAACTAGACCACCATGGAAAACCCGGAAGCACGATCTCGCGGGGTCGTGGATACACACTGCTGAGGAGTCTCACAATGAGACGGAACAGACGTCCAGACGATTTCTCACTAGTACTTCCAAGTTTTCCATAATGGTCTAACTTCAATTGATTCATGATTTCAATCTGTGAAATTCCTTTAAAAAAAATCTCCACAAACCCCTTTCTGATCATAGGATAATAGATAAAGAAAACTTTATCTTTCTACATTGAAAGGTCAAAGTTCATTCCATTTCTACAAACCATAATCATCATAATTATCTACAATGTAATCTATTTTAAACTTTGGCAGATTGTAAGACTATTCTATCATCATCATCATCATCATCATCATCATCACATCATCATCATCATCATCATCATCATCATCATCATCATCATCATCATCATCATCATCATCATCATCATCATCATCATCATCATCATCATCATCATCATCATCATCATCATCATCATCATCATCATCATCATCATCATCATCATCATCATCATCATCATCATCATCATCATCATCATCATCATCATCATCATCATCATCATCATCATCATCATCATCATCATCATCATCATCATCATCATCATCATCATCATCATCATCATCATCATCATCATCATCATCATCATCATCATCATCATCATCATCATCATCATCATCATCATCATCATCATCATCATCATCATCATCATCATCATCATCATCATCATCATCATCATCATCATCATCATCATCATCATCATCATCATCATCATCATCATCATCATCATCATCATCATCATCATCATCATCATCCAAAGCATCAGCATCATCATCATCATCATCATCAGCATCAGCATCATCATCATCATCATCATCATCATCATCATCATCATCATCATCATCATCATCATCATCATCATCATCATCATCATCATCATCATCATCATCATCATCATCATCATCATCATCATCATCATCATCATCATCATCATCATCCAAATCATCATAATCCATTGTCATAATGTAATGAAAACAATTAGAATTGAATGATTGTCACGTTTTTTCTCTTTTCTTTTCTTTTCTTTATAATCAATAAGAATAGAGGTAAATGAAATATAGAACAAGCAATTAATCCTTAGTGAATTGTAATAATCATTTTTATTCTATGGAATAATCCATGCATACAACTACATTCATATAGAATTCATAGAAGAAAAAAGAAGAAGAAAAGAAAAAGAAGAAGCAAAAAATGAAGAAAAGAAGAAAAAGAAAAAGAAAAGAAGCATGAGAAAAGAAAGAAAGCAAGAAGGCATCCTTTCATGAATGATGCAAAAACCAGTATACACTTATAAATAGGAATAGTTTAAGCAAGGAGAAGAAACATTAACAACAAGGAACAAAATAAACAACACAATAGTCATCCATACAGAGTTAATAGTTCATATCAGTTCACATATATATATAATTATCATTAATGTATAATCTAATGGATGACCTCATTATAATTAAAATATATCAATTATCTATTTAGTTGTATATATTTGATTATCTTTAAGATATCCATTTGATATTGTTTAGTTAAATCTGTTTTATGGATGTTTATGGGCTTAGAATTGATCAATCCTTTATTATGGGTATATGTGCATCTTGTATGACTTCAGTCCAATGAGGAAGACATCAAGAAGAAGCGCTAGAAGTAGATAGGATACATATTGAGGAAAGCATTCAACTGTGTCACAAAACAAGCCCTCATATGGAATCCTCAAGGCCAATGGGGGGGGTGAAGAGGAACACCAAAGAACACATTATGCCGGGAAATGGAGATAGACATGAGAAAAATAAACAAGAATTGGATGGAACTAGAAAAGCAGGCCCAAGATAGAATGGGTTGGAGAATGCTGGTCTGCAGCCTATACTCCATTAGGAGTAACAGGTGTAAGCTAAGCTTACAAGCGTGACTTCAGTTATAAGTATTCTAAGTAAAGATGCATGATAGTTAATGGTGGAATCCAGGATACAACGTTGCGTCCTATTACAGATTTATCAGATAGATATACCTACATCCCAGAGTTGATGTTCACTCTAGGACTTGAATCCAGTATTGTTTGTTTCAAATGCTATCACGTGATCTACTTAGCTACTGAGTCTTGATAATCACTTGAATTTTCCCATTAATGTTTAGGACTGTAGTTGATCACTCTCATACTGGTATATGTGCATTCTGTGTGTATTGCCTTGATATTGACTTCAGTCATAAGTATTATAAGCAAAAATGAATGATGGCTAACAGTGGAATAAAGGACCCAAGTTTTGTCCTGATTAGAACTCGTCAGCTGAGCGTATCCTCATCTCAGAGATGATGTTCATTCTAGGACTCGAATCCAGTATTGTACGCTTCAAATGTTATCACGTGGTCTACTTAGCTACTGAGTCTTGATAATCACTGGCTTGTATTGTTTACTTGAATTTTTTTCTTTGATGGAGAATTATTCTCTGAGCTGATGGTTTGATCGTGGAGTTTTCATCGTCCTTTTGAATGACATCATCAGCACAAACTTCAAGTAGAAGCTCTACGACGAAACCATCCAGATCAGAGAATGAAACTCCATCAAAATCACCCACCTCAGCTACAAACCTTCTCCACCATCACAATACTGTTTATTTTGTATAAACAATTTCATAGACTTGAAGTCAGTTATTAATCACATTACTATCACTACATACAAATTAGTTACTAAACCATGAATATTACAAATTATTGACTGTATAACATGTTGATTCTTGTCCATCATAACCATCAACTTGTTACATTTTTGTTTTTGTTGTTGTTTAATTCGTGTCTGTTTGAATATCATCCTGATTACCCATACTCTTTCAACATTTAGCACGTTCGAGCATTTTTTTCTGTCTATTTAGTTGGTCAGTTCTGTATGTAAGAGTGAAATTTCTACAGAGAATTCCATTTGAATGGTTAAGATCATGAGTCAGTCGAAGTTAGACCACCATGGAAAACCTGGAAGCACTTGAAGGCCGTTTCTTCCTATTGTGGGACTCCTCAGTGGCAGTGCGTATCCACGACCTCGCTCCCTGCGAGACTCGAACCCAGGACCCAGGACCTACTGGTTTCGTGCGCGAGCACTTGATCACTAAACCATTGAGCTGGCTGGCGTCCAACGGTGTCAATGTCTAAATTCAACTAATCCACAAAATTGAACGACATATTCATCATTGTCTTCAGTGAGTTGAATTATCTCATCTTATTCAATACAATACATGATCGATGAAAGTTAGACATTAACATCGTTGAATTCAGGCTTATTGATCTAAAGTTTAAACATTCGCATGTGTGACCGACAGTCCTGAGATTGAATCCGACATTACAGAATTGTAGATGCACATTGTTGATGAGTCCTATACCAGGACGAAACTGTTATTCAGTACTTCTAAGTTTTCATTGGTCATCCTAACATCAATCAATTTTATGATTTTCATAACCTAAGACAGATGTTATTCTCTGATTTTTCTTATATCTATAAATGTTAACAACTTTTTTGACCCCTGTGGTGATTTTTTCTTTCTTCTTCTTAAATTTCATTAAGAGGTTAAGTTTAAAACAATTTTTTTTCCACAAATTACACATACCATTTTAAGTATGTTATAGGTTACACTAGTATCCTTGTTATATACATAAGTATAGAGGTTAAAAACAACTTTATTACTATGACATAATATTTAATTGAATTATAATTTTCGTAAAAGACTAATCGACTGAACAGTTTGAATAATGTTTCTTTTTTATCCTCCCCCTCCCCCTTTACCTACTTCTTTCTCCTCCTCCTCTTCCTTTTTCCTCTTCTACTTCTTCTTCTTCTTCTCCTTCTTCTTCTTCTTCTTCTTCTTCCTCATCCTCCTCCCCCCTTCTCCTTCCTCCTCCTTGTTCTTCTTCTTATGATTAAAGTACAAACGTTTCTTGACCAGTTCAATTAAATATAAATAGATTGAATAATTATATAACTGTTTAGATGTAATTTGTTTATCTGGTTAGCGTTTGTTTGGTTGGTTGGTTGGTTTTTCATAGTAAGGTTGTTTTCTACGGAATATGGTTGCTAACCCTATGTCTAAACCTCTTCCTTTACCCGAGCTTGAAACCAGCAGTAACCCTAGAAGAGCTACAGTGTAGTTAATTTTTTTTTTTACTTTGATCGGATAGCATCAGCAATACCATCAACCTTTCGATTAATAGCCGAATGCGCTAACCGGTTGTGCTATGGAGGCGCCCACCACAGGGGCGGTTATTACTTTGCCCTCAAATGCCCTGGTACGGCCAAGAGTGAGGAGAGTTAACTCTCCCTCTCGAAATGCTCTCATATGGCCACGTGCATACAATCACTACCAAGGAAGTCCTACTCACTGCCATCTTGTGGTATTAATGTTGTTTACTAAATTGAGAGGACGAAAACGAAACTCCTGCGCTTTAACAATGTTGGTAGATATGGAGAATCCACATACGGGAGTTGGAAAACCCTGATTTCAAATAAATGGTGCACATGGGCTCCAGTATCCTGATGGAAAAATGGCGTTCGAACCTATTGTTGATGACCGGCTACCATGTGACTGCATCTCCTTACGTTGCTCCACTACCTTGTGGATCAGACCTTCATATAGAAGGCTCCGTGTGTGGTCCCCTAAGAAAACCACTTGCCTCGGTTTGGGCACTCGAGCAATATCACAGCCCTCACACAAATCTCATTTGATTTGTGTGACGCATATCTGTTTGGTGCGTACTTGTACCAATATCTTTGTGTTCAAATAAATAAATAATAAATAATAAACAATAGTCTGATATGGGATAGAATAAACCAACTTTTAGTTGAAGAGGAAATGATACACATTAAAGAAATCATCACACTGAATCATGAGGTGAGCGCTAAGTTGGAATCCTGAAGGGAATCGGAAAGGAGGAAGGTCAAAGAATATACTACGTTTGGAATTGGAAGCAGACACCAAAAGGATGAATAACAACTGGAAAAAACTGGGAAAGATTGTCCAGAAGAGATTATAAACAGAGACGGTTAGTAACTAGCAGTAGTATCTAGGACACACATTTCGTCCTATTCGGGACTCATCAATTGGATATACTGCTAGATGAAAAGTCAAAAAAAAGGAAAGTTAGAGATTGAGATGAAATCGTCCGTGAAAATTATGCTCTTATATTTGGCGTATACTGACTAAACGAACAGAAGAATGCTAGTAAGCAAAGTGTCTAGCAGTAGAATCCAGGATGTGCGTTTCGTCCTATTTGAGACTCGTCAGCTGAATGTACCTGTATCTCCGAGTTGATGTTCACTCTGCAATTATATATTGGACATTAGTTGACAATTGTAAGGAAGATGTTCTACAAACTGACTGATATGTATCTTATTCCCATTTGTAGATAGGATATTTTAACATAGAAATAAACATGATTACGATTGATTTAAGAAGTGATTAACTGAATGACATTTATCTTGTAGGCGATTCACCTAACAATAGAACAGACATTTGATTCAAATGTACTAGGTATATCAGTGAACAAGTTATAAAACTAAGTTGTTGATAATAAAATATATACAATGGTTTTGCCCATACATTTCCATGATTTCTGCTTCGTGAGAATCCCACATTAATCGTTCTTTTAATCGGTCTATCTAAAGCCTTTGTTATCCAAACACATACAACTTATATGTATATAATAAGATTTCAGTTGTGTCTGTGGTATTTATCCATGGTTCTAGATCCAACATCCTATCAAAATGTTTGTTGATTGTTTTTAGTTTAGTAGATGATAAGAGTTGAGAATTTCAATACTACGACGAAACGGTCATCCAGTGCTACTACGTTTTCTATGGTAGTCTAGCATTAATCAACTCGTGAATCACTACAATATCCACAAAACCCCCTTTTTGTTGTGAGATATCAGCTCACTGAAGACATCGGTGTACGGTGACACAACTTCGTGGATTGGTTG